ATATTAATTAATGGGCCAATAAAAGAAATAAATGAAAAATCTAAAAACGTATAAATTTAAAATACACAAATGTCAAAGAATATATTATATTTTAAATACAACGTCTAAATAAAAACACGACTTTTTGAGCATCTTTACCAATCGTTTACTGCTGATCTAGAAAAAAGATTTGAATCTTTTATATTATTCTAGTGGTAAATATTTTGCGTCAGACTGATTCTTTTCATTATCTTTTGACCTATTTCATATAAAGAAACCCATTTTGAACACTATTATATCTAAACTTAAGGAAGATATGAGCGATCATGCATGGGTGTTGTTTTGGGTGTGGGTGCGATGTAGAGAGACGATCAGTAATCACACCCTCGCTCTCACCTCCACCCACATCCGACTCTTCTCTACGAGAAAAAGAATATTGAATGTTTTCTTCTATCACTCTATATATTGAGAAAATGTTCTCTATTAATAAAAAAAAATCGAATATATATCTGTTAAAGAGCAATAGTAATAAGATCACGTAGGTGAAGTTGGCTCCATATTCGACTACGTAATTTAAATTCATTTCTACTAATAGTTTAATATCGTATAGAAAATGTTTTCCAGTTCGATCATCTTAAAATTGAACATTTACATTTTTTAAATGGAAATAATCAAAGTATTTTATTCTAAAAATCTCCAAATATAAAGTAAAATGTTAAATAAACAGAATTCGATTCTCTCGAAATGTTTAAATAGTTATTTAAGAAATAAGATTTAATTAAAATAATCAAATTCTTCTTTATCTTGTTTTCTATTAATATCAATTTAAAATGAAACGTTTTTTTTAATAAGAATAAAGTTAATTTTCTCTTTGGCTATTCGAATATCAGAATATAAATATTTTATTTTCGACAGTTGTTAATCGAAATCTCAAGATAAGATTAGAACATGATTCAATAGGTAAAAGTCGTTTTATTTAGATATTTGAAAATATCCTATAAGACACGTTGTTTTCCCCCTGGTTGCGTTTTGTTATTTTGTTCGTAACAACAAAAAATTATTTCTTGAGCTTACAATTATCATTTTTTGTTGTTCTGTCAAACAACCATCTATAAGGCCACTCTTCCTTACATTTATTCTTTAATATCGTTGTTGATTGCTCTTACTAAAAATCACATGTGGTTAACAAAACCAATGAACCACGGCGGATAGATAAGTCATGTAAAGAAAAGAGAAAAAGAATGTTATTTTTATCGATTTTATTTATGGACGAAAAATCAACTCAATTTTGAAATACAATCAAAATCTTTATTTACTTATTTATTTTTCAGTATAGAATTAATTATCTAAGATTTTTTTAAATATTTAGATTTCTGATGACTTGTCCAGCGACATCGCTCTTCTTTATGATCGAACTCATGTGCAATTCAGCGATCTATTACAAATGGTAGGTAATTCTATAACTTAATTTGAGATTTTTTAACTTCGAGAAAGATAAAATAATAAGTTTGAGTAGTTTATTGAGTTAAACCTGATTTAATACATGATATAGTGATCAAATCTTCGCCTTATATTCTAATATTTGTGAAGTTGTCATCAAATCTTCGCCTTATATTCTAATATTTGTGAAGTTGTCATCAAAATAAAAAGAGATAATGATACTTATTAAGTTCAAATTTTTATTCTGAACGCTCGTTTATTCAAGTTTTATAATAATAAAACAAGTGTGAGTAAAGATAAATGTAAATATGATATATTTGAAAGAATCTGTTTTAGTATCAAATCGATCATTTGTAGAATTTCCTTTTTTTCTTTCGAAATGAAATCAATATTAACTTTATCCGCACACATATGTCCACATTTTCATATTGTATAGAAATCAAAGACAAAGAAATGATTATTTATTTTTACTATATACTTGAAGAAAATATTTCTAATTAATTGTTTCTTGATAGATTATATCTACAGTCAATCCTTCAGTTCCTATTCTGTCAAATAAAAAATAACTTCGACATATAATGATACAAGTCATAAAAGACAATGAAAAAGTTATTCAAATTTGTACGTAAATAAAAAAAAACTATTTGTGTTACACGAAATATTACGCAACGATTTATTAATTTTTAATTCTCATAAATTATTACAGATTGAACTGAAGTATTAATCATTCTATTCAACTATTATTTAAATTATCACCATTACAAAATAAATCCTATAAAATACCCGACAAGTTTCATAATCACATTCTTATATCATGAAAACGTGTTCAATCATTGATTTTAGTAATCATGTATGAACTACAAACCAATTATTTAAGAATTTATAAATTGAAAAGTGAAATATAATTACAGATATTTAAAATAAAAAACAGATTAGTTGTTGTCATGTATATGACTACTATGGTATGAATGATATTAGATAATTTCAAAAATGATCATACTATAAGCGTCGTCATCACAATCGTTCGTTTTAAAACGATTTTTTGCGACCAGGCGTAGTTTATTTTAGATGATTCTATATTAATCTATAACTCTACTTCTCACTTGTGTTTCTTTAATTGCTTTTTCAAGATTTTTAATTAATGAGCGATAATAAATAAGCATAAAAGTCTTCCAGAAGTAAACAAATACAAATCATCGATTTTAGAGAATTTTTTAATCTTTTTTTCGAATTTATTTTTTACTCACAGTATCAAATTGTATGTAGAGTTCTTATTTGTCGATTTAGTTACATAATTTCTATGTATAAATTAATGTGAACTTACATTTTATAATAAAAACATAGATCCACTAATTAAATAAGTAATAAGATCTTCTAAATTTAACAGTAAAATAAAAGTTCACGTGTAAATAATCTCATAGTTTATCGCTAAAAATGAAGAAGAAAATCATTGAAGATTAATCACTGATTTTGAGTACATGAAATAACTTTTTTATAACTAATGTCAATTGCAATTGACGAAGAAATTTCTTATTACACAAACAAGATTAAAGATTAAGATTAAAAATCTGGTAAAAAAATCAGCATTAGATGTGTTGTATACTAATCAACATGGTTTAATCTCAAATTTTTAATTTGGATTCTTAAAAAAATCTCTCGTACATTCGATAATTTGATAGTAGTAATCAGAAAAATTGAAACATATTCTCCTTAAATATAATATTGTACAATGATATTAACAATAAAATGAAAAAGTTTTCATAAAACAATATAAGAATTTTTCAATTTATACGTAGATAGATTTAGATTGAAATTTTTAATTAGAAGTTGTTACATAAAAATGTTTTCTTAGCGTAAAATATCTATTCAATTCATTTAACTTTCTTACTAATATTATTTTCTTTAATCTATTTACAAAATTTGAAAGAAACTATTTTATGTTAAAAGAAAAGATTATAAACTGATTCTTTTGAATGAAAATCTTACCTAAAAACTATAGAAATCTTTAAAAACTATAGAGAAATATTTAACATCTGCTACATGTGTATTCATTTTCATATTCTTTATTTCCTCGACAATAGCTAATTTTATCTTTCATATTTTTCTTCGTCATCTAAAAAAAGATATTTGTAACGAAATGTTTTCTTCTTCTTATGCTTGATAAATCTATTCAGAAATGACTACATCAAAAGAACTAATAAATATTTTCATATTTTCAGTATGGTTATCAATAGGAACTATGTTTAAATTGAAATATCGAAGAAGAACAATCGAAAAAAATTTTCGTCTAAGATTCAATATTTTTATAATGATTTTCTTCTATTTGAAAATATTCTTTGAACTTATGTCAAATATATTGATCATTCTTATCATTGATTTATGCTCGTTCTATTTAGTTTCATATCGAAATATTGAAGAATTTGTTAGAAAATGACAATTTTCTTTTAATATCAATGTCAAATAGACAGTAAAGACTATATATTCATCCTCAAGACGATTAACTATCCATATTATATCAACAATTGCTCATTATCTCTTATCGAATAAATCAAACACTAAAAATCTTCATATCGAGTTTGCGACATTAAAGTTCATGATGATAGTGATAGATCAAATATTCCTATTGATACAATCAATCATTACATGAACCTTATATTCAATTTCATTTATTTTCTTAAATAAACAAAAGAAATATAGAAAATATTTTGATAAATCAAGTAAACGAATACTATTCTATGTTTAAATAACGACGATCATTATTTCTAGCATTTACTTAAATAAATATTTGTTCAATTTATTTCTTTTATTCCTATCGAAATTATTAAAAGAGAAGACAAAAATGAAGAAGAGAGAAACAAACACACATCGATGATACATATATCCTATTACTGCACAGTGGGTTCACATAAAAGAGTAGGTGAAGATGTAGCTCTGGATAGACATGCACCAAACTCAAATTCAAACTGCCAACGAGTTGGCAGTTTAGGTTTGAATTTAAGTTTAGATTTAGTAGTAAGATTAACGAAGTGTTTTTATTTCTAATTTATATCTGTATTCTTTTAGTTTATCTCTTTCTTACACTAGTTGATCATATGACTATAACACAAAGAAGTATCGATCAGCGTTATTAGGATCGATGGTGGGTGTGGATATGAATGGAAAAGAAGAAGAGACATACATCCGCACCCACCCGCAAAATTATGAGAAAAGGTGAAAAATATCAACGAATATCTTTTTTTTCTTTTCTTTCGAGTATGAATAAATATTTCGATGCGATCGAAACAGAACGAAAAGAAAAGAGAAGAAAAAAGAAAAAAAAATATAAAATATGATACCTTCTAATAAATTATTCGATTGGTTTTTGTTGATATATGATGGTTGATCAGATGAAGTTATACGAAAAACAGTTTTACCCATAACTTGACCACTATTACATCTTAATCATGCTTATATTACTTGAGATGGTTCATAAGTAACTGTTGGTTCAACAACACGTAATTTACGTTGAACAAATAGATCAAATGTTTCTTCAGGTATAATATGAATAAGAGATGATATATGATCAACAAAATCCAGCGAAATCAGTCTACCATATCTGATGGTAATAGTTCTTCTTCACTATCTTCTTCAATCCATGTTAATTCAGAAAGAAAACGTGATTGTGGTACACAAATACAAAATGATTTTTGAACAGCATCTCGTTTAGGAATAATAGAAATTTGTTTGAATTTACATTTCTTTTGTTCATTATTATTTTGTAACATTTCATAATGCCATGTTAAATGTTGAACTTGATTTTGATTTGTATGATTAAGACGAAGAACAACTTCACAAGTATCACTTGAATATCTTGAATTAATCATATATTCTATTAAAGTATGAATAAATATTGATTGATTATTATTATTATTTAATGATGTTTGAAGATCAATAAGTTTTAATCGATGTGGTTCATATTCAGTTATTAAACTTCGTGCAAGGCCAATAAATGGTGATGCAATTATATTAAGATTCGAATCATTATTAAATTGAGCATGATCTGTCAGAACATATACAAATGAATAAAAATATGGTGATGATTTTTGAATTGTTTGAAGAATTCATGATAATGTTCCACATATAAGTTCTTCATTTTGTTTGAATGCTAAATCATCATCATTATTTTCATTAAGTGCTACTTGATCAAGTTGCCATGCAAATATAATAGATACTTGTTTATAAGTAGTTAATAGAACTGATATTGCAGAACAAATAGTATCTAAAGTTGAGTTATGAATATGAAATATTTTAATATTTGAACATGGTAATAATGACTATAGAATATTATTATTATCATCTTTAATAAATATTAACCATAACTGATTTATTCGTTCATCAAGTCTTTGTAATATTTCATTCGATGTTGTTTTTTGACTAATAATAAATGTACTTTCATTTCGATTTAATGTTGATTCAATAATATGAAATCCTTCGATTTGTTTTAATAATATCACCCATTGTTGAATATTATTTAATGCACGATTATTATCATCATCAGATGATGACCACCATTGATCATTAAAACAAAAAATAAGATCAAAATAAAGAAGAACATGAACTAATTCAAGTAATAAAAGAAGACCATTAGGAACAAGTAAACGACGAAGATCAACTAAAGAATTGATTAAATGTTGATTTCCTTGAAGTTGATTTGCAGAAAATATAATATCAAATGGTTCTATTCGTATTTTTTCAAATGTTTTACTATCATATAAATCAATTGTTTCATCATAAATAATAGATAATTTTTTTGTTTGATTAGTTAGATGTGTATTAAATGTTTGTTGAGCATTTGCAAGTTGTGTTGGATCAGAATCTGCATAATATAAATCAATTAATAAACCTGTTTGTTATGATAAATTAAGAAGAAGATCAAGAATAGGTAAAACATCTGAACAATCACTATCAGTTAACCAAAATATACGTAATCGATAATTTTCAAATGAATTGTCTTTAGTTTGTTTTTCATATTGTAATTTTAAATATTGACAAATAGTATGAAAAACTTGTTGTATTTTAGTTGCCCTGATAAGAGTTTTAGTTTGTTGAAAACTTTGTTCAATTTCGTCATCACCAAAAAATATATCTAATCCATTTTTTTCCCCACTAAGAATATCTTTTAAATGTGAACCATATTTGTTTAATATTATTAAAAATGGCTTTAAACGAGGAAAACGTTGAATTAATTGAATAAGACGAAGATGTGTTGAATGTCATGTTACTTATTCATGTACAGTTGAAGCAAGAGAATGACATGCATTTAATGATGGATGATGTTGTTGATTTAAATCAAGATCTTTAATTACCATTTGAGCATAATAAGTAGTTAATTCATTAAATGGTTCGATCGATTCAATTAAATCTTGATTACTAATAAAATTAAGTTGATTATTAAGAATTTGATTAGGTGATGGGAGTAAATGTGATATATCTTTTGTTATTGGTGAATCAGTTCATACTCTTTTAGGATTGTATTTAAATATGATTTATGATCAGCATTAGGTAAATCAGTTGTTAGATTTAATTTATCATAAATTGTTTGTTCCATTGACCATCGACCAGAATGTGCACCTTGAACTTGTTGAATAACAGCACCTTCAAATGTAAATATTGGTTCTTCGATTTTATTATCCATTGGAAATGTCCATAAATTAAGATTATATATTTCTTCTTGATCTATACCACATATATTATCATGATAGATTCCACGTACTTCAATATTTGTTGACTGATTCATCTTTGCTTTTGTTTTACTTGAATAAATAAATTTTTGAATACGTACTGGAAGAAATGTCGTTTCAACACCTGGTAATATAACTAGATATGGATGAAGTAAATAATAAGATGAACAATTATTATTATCATTTGATAATTGAGATATAATTGTAGTTGAAGTACCATGTAATGTTTTTATTTTTTGAAAACTAGATGCATATGGATAAGCACGTGCTGGAAGATGTGCATAAGCACTTCGTATATCTTGTATCGTTCATCTATCAGGTACTGTTAATGATTTTTGTTGTTTATAATCTATTTCAATTTTACCTTGTGCATGTAAAGTAAATTCATTTAATGAATATTTATTAAGATTATCTTGATTACAAAATATAATATACCATTCACGCATTGGCATAATTATTTGTATAAATACTTCCATCAATTCATGTTCACTAAGAATAAGTGCTTTAATAAAGTTTACGTCTTCAAAAATAAGTGTTAGTTGTTGTTGATCATCTTCTTTTGATGAAAGTAATTGATGACAAGCAGTTGTTGCAAGTTCAAGATAAGCAACAGCCGGGAAAAAAATTACATCTTGAATTTTATAATCTTTTAAAAAAGAATGTTGTGGTAAATTAATATTAATAAGACTTTTCCATGTTGCACTTGTTTGTTCATTTAATTGACGAATACCAAGTAATGAATGAGTTTGAGTACGATTAGGTAAACGTTGTATAGATGAATCTTTTGATTCATACTAACATGAACTCAAATGAAATTTATATGATGGAAAATTATCAAAATATTCTTCATGATTTTTCAACGGTAAAATTTGACGAGTATGAAAATATTGTTGCCATACTTGAGATAATGTTGTAAGTTGTGCTAAACTAGTAAGTAATGTTATTTGTTCATTTTCTTTTCGTTTTAATGTTGGAAGAATAAGTGGTGGTGATGATTGTTGTTGATTTGTTAATTCACAACATTCACGAATAGATATATAACTAATACTGGATGTGGTGAAGTTTCAAGAAAAACATTTGCTGCTTCATCTTTTATAATTAATGTTATAGTATCATAAAATCTTACAGTTTGTCTTACATTTGACTATCAACTGATATATTATCATTCATTTGCTCGCCAATAATACTTAAATAAAGTTTTGCTTGTGTACATATAGGATTAAATATTTGTTTTTGATCTTGTATTGGAAATCGTCGAATATCTTTCAATGTGAAAAATGAAATGCATTTTCAATACGAACACGTTCTTTAAATACATTTGGATAAGAGACTGAAAGTATTTGTTGTATTTCATCAATTGTTTTTTCATCACCACTTATTGTTACTGAGCGAGGACTATTAACAACAGCAATACAAGCTAAATGTTCAATACCTTTCAAAAGTTTGTTTTCTACTTCTTCTTCACTCATTCAAACAGCTAACATACGAACAGTTTCTTTTAAACTTAAACGACCAGCAACAAAAGCAGCTGCTTGATCACCAGCACTGTGTGATATTATAGATGATGGATATATATTCCATGAAACAAGTAATACTGATAATGCAACTTGTACAGCAAATAATGTTGGTTGAGCAATATTTGTATCATTAATACGAGATTCTTGTTCATTTTTCTTTTCAATTAATTCTTCTAATAATCTTCATTCACCCTTATTAATTTTTGTCATTTCTTCATCAATTAAATTAATCCATTTATTAAATAAAGGTTCACTTTCATATAATTGTCTACCCATAGCCCACCGTTGAGGACCTTGACTACTAAAAACAAAACATATTTTATGTGCTAATGATTTTGTTGGACGTGATGATTGAAAGGCCTGGTGACGCTTGTTCAGTAAGAAAAGCATTGATTTGTTCTTGTAATTGTTGATGACTGAGAAGAACAAAGATTGCTGAATGTTGATAACTAATAGTTCTTTTGAGAAGAAGTTGTTGAGATATACGTTGAAGAAAAGCTTGATCATCATTATGATCTATATCATTAATTGATCGTTAAGATATTGACGACTTTTTGCTGAATAAGAGAAATAAATTATTTAATGAATGAAAAGAAAAAAGAACTTACTTGAAAAAATAAAAGAAAATATTGTTTGCTTTTAATATGATTTCCATCATCGATATGACCATTTTGAATTGATGTTTTATTTATTGGTTGATATTCTTCAATAATAGAATGTGTCGTTGAACCAACCGTTTCGAATGAATTAACACCTATAACTACTTTTTCATTATTTGGAAGTGTTGAAAATGGTACAAAATTTTGAAGACTATATAGATTATATTTTTATGCATCTATTTTTGGATTAAGTGAAGTAAATTGCATATTTGTTGTAATACCACGATGATATATACACATAGCAACTTTGATAAGTGATAGAACACCAGCTGCACCTTCTGTATGTCCTAAATTAATTTTAAGTGAACCTAATAATAATGGTGGATCAAGATTTGATCGATTAAAAAATCAATCTAAACAATTAGCTTCAATTGGATCGCCATCACGTTCAGCATCACTTAATTGTTTTAATAATAAAAGAGCAAGACCATCATCTAGACACAATATTTAAATTGAAATGTATTTCTAAATAAAAAAACTAATCAACTGAATTTACCTTTAGCATAACTATTAGCATCAACACTAAATGATCGGCTTCTTCCACCAGGTGATTGTGCACCAATAAATGAATGTTGTAGAAAACTTTCTGGTGTAAGAATCCATTAACACCACCATATACAGCCATGTCAGCTTCATTTGTACGGAGACATTGCACAGTCATATGTAAAGTTTCTCAAGAAGATGAACAAGCAGCATCTGATGATACATTTGGATCATGTAAATTAAAATGATATAATAAACTATTAGGTCCATAAAATCTTGATTTGATGTTCAGGTCTCATACGAGCTGCTGCAATTACATGATCTGTTGAAAATTATCCAGTATGTACTAATGTTTTTGTACCATTTGTTTTTTCAATACTATCCAGAATCATCAAGTAAGTCAACAAATTTTAACGTAAATAATTGATAACATGGATCAATGCTGGCTGCTGCAGCATCTGATAAATCAAAAAACATGATTCAAACATATTCCATAGTTGATTTGACATAAAATAACCAGCACGAAGAAGTTTTTGGTGAAGTTGTTCATTATTATTTATATTAAGCATATGACCAATAAATGATTCAAGATCAAATCGATCAATTGTTGTTGCACCACCAGCATCTTGACTTTCTTTTAATGTGTACCATAAATCATTTGGTGAATGAATATCACCTGCGAATTCACATGCTATACCTATAACAGCTATTGGTTCTAATGATGTATCATTATTATTTATAGTTGCCATTAGTATTCTTGATTAAATATTTTTTTTCTGAATTAAAAGAATAGTTTTAGATCTAAAATAAATATTATTAGATAAAATAAAATCTAAGATTAATTTAATTTTTAATTGAACATAGTGTTAGATCTATACAAATATGACTATAATTTAATGAGATTATGAATTTTGTTTTGTTTTTTATTAGAAAATATTAGAATTATTTTTGTTATTTGATAAATCAAATATAATTTATAAATCTCTTCACATTGGACTTCTATTGTATTTTGTAAATTAGAAAAATTTATAGATGAATTTGTAATGTGATTCATATTTTTCATGCTATAGATAATGTTTGATTAGTAGTGTACAAGCACAAAAAGTCTTAAAAAATTTATAAATTTCGTAGATTTGTGAAATTGTCGGATAGCTATAGAAGTACCTACGAGAGTAATCTGGAATATGAAACTGGTTATAAGTTTTTAGATGATTATAATGTTGTTAAGTTTAATAAAAATTTCTATGATTTGTCAAAAGTAAAAAAAACTTAATAGAGCTGAATTGCTACATATATGTAATTTCTACTCTCAAAAATTATTTTATATTAACAATGCCTATTGATAGTAAATATATGTACAACATAAAGTAAATTGATGCATAAACTAAGCTTTAATTAGATAATAAGAACTAATGAATTAACTTATTTATTTAGCTGTTAAAGATATCTATTTTGTCTTAATTTTGAATAAGATGATCTTCTATTCTATGAAGAAGTTTATATATATAACGAGTACACCATAATAAATGAGATACAAAAGTGAGCCATTTATTATGAGACATCCATTATATATACATATAGGCATACGAGCGCTTGAATATATACGATTTTTTAAAAGCAACTTTTTAGTCGCGGTCATGGCCACTTGTGCTCTATATATTTTATCAAAAAAGGACCATGACTATAATATCATATCAAGTCATAATTTTTTATTAACATATTTTTCAGGTAGTTTAATTCAAAGATTATTTTCTATATAATTTCTTAAAATTTTAATCTCACTTTTTTTTAAATTAAAGCTCATTACATTAAATATGGATATAGTGCTCAAGTTTAATCAACTCTTTTAATGTCTTTTCTCGCAATAATTTTAATTGCACTTTTATGAAAAATTTGTTTCCTTAATCTTAATAAAAGTAAAATATTTATTTTTATTTCTTTCACAATAATTTCATAAAATTCTACAAAATCTTAATCAAATTAAAATATTTAAGAAAAGAAATTTTTTTAAAATTAATTATTAGAATAATTTTCTAACGTTGATCTATTGAAAATATAGATATTTTAAATTCTAAGTGATTTCTTTTGTATTGATATTCTATGTAATATATATATGTTGTAGTCAAAATTAAAATATTTTTTTATAGGTAAAAGAAGTAAAATGTTTACGTGTCGATCGATTTCTCTTTCTATTCTTCTTCTATTAACTATAGTTATTCTCACAACTAAGAAAACTAGATCAGAACTAAGAACAGCTATTGTGTACGATGAGTGACTTATCCAGTAAGCCAAAGTAAGGAGAAAGAAAATTGCAGTAAGAAGTTATTATGAAAATAAGTTGGTATATAGATGATCACTAGAGACCGGCGTGACCGGTGTTTCCGTGATCAAAAAAGTTGAAAGTTTTCTATTATGATTTATGAATTTGAAACTAAAAAAATCTTTCAACACTTGTATTCTGTTCAGAATTTTGTACTCTTCGAAATGCGGGATGAAAATTTAAGATATAATATTCTCCGACAGAAAAAACTTCTGTTTATCATCCGTGACTGGAAAAACCCGTGACCGACCGTGACCAATTCTGGCCACGGGTGATAAACAGAAGTTTTTTCTGTCGGAGAATATTATATCTTAAATTTTCATACCGCATTTTGAAGAGTACAAAATTCTGAACAGAATACAAGTGTTGAAATATCTTTTAGTTTCAAATTCATAAATTATAATAGAAAACTTTCAACTTTTTTGATCACGGAAACACCGGTCACCGCGGTCTCTAATGATCACACATCGTAAAAAAACCATGGAGTTGGCCACAACGATCTTTCAAGTTAATAGTAATGAGAAAATGTTTTCTACTCTAACAAATGTCATTCAAAGAGGGATGGATGCTTAAACATGGATTAAATAAAACTAGAACTAAATGATGTTTCTTAAAAAGTACTGTAAAATAAAACAACTTATTCACACTTAGATTATTTGTCTTTCTTCGCCTTCTTTTAACTATAAAAAAAATATTTGTATTTTAACTGAGAATATGAGAATATTTTAGTCAAAATTAGAATTCCAATTTTGATTAGTCAAATTTCAAATTAGGCTGGATTTTAATTTTAACTACAACATATACATATGAATAGCTTAAACATCAAAGTAATTATTCCAAATTAATATATTTAATTCTAGGATTTATTTGAATGAAATTTCAGATGAAAATTTATGATTTCATAAGAGTTATCTACTGAAATCGTAATATTAAAATAAAAGTGTATTAGATAATAGATTGCCTTAGATAAATTTATACTAAAAGGTCACAATAAATATGTTTTGATAAAAGTAATTGTCTTTTGTCTTACCTCTATATGATGAAACCTTCAATGATTATAATCGGATATTCAATCGAACAATATTATCTTCGTACTTGTATAAGAGATATATTATATATATATATGATTTTATGTGTAAGTGCACATAATAAGATAAAAATCAGTTGTATTGTATCCTCCTCCTCCAACAATAAATATAAAATCGATGTTAAATATCGAAGCAATAATATGTTTTAGCTTGTAATAATCGTATTAATGCTTCTTAAACACATGCATGAATAAAACTTATTATCTCACCTGTAAGAACAGCAAGAAAAAAAGAAAATGTATGACTGATTTCATGTACGAATACAAAAGATAGTTAGTATGGATTATTTTCTGATTTTTTTACCTCCCAAGTCCAAGGTCTATGTTAAATATTAAAGTAATTGTGTATTCTGCTTATTTAGAATAATATTTTTAACAATTATAAATGACTGATCATTAGAAAGCAATTAAACTGCGCGTGTATGTAAAAAAGAAAAATATATATCAAAGATTATTTTATGTAAAAAAGATAAAAAATAAGATAAACGTTAATTATTATATGACCGATCTCTGAATAAAGTACAAAATCTAGTAGAATAATTCGAAACTATCCCATTTTTTATGAATATATACCATATATAGATTACAAAGGAACTTAAAATCTAGGATAATTTGAAATTCTCCATAGGGAAAATTAAAATTATTTTATTACCTATTACATTTTATTACAAAAGCTGAAGATGGTTAACCGTTAGTACATTCAGAATGAGTACAACTATGATGGTGACAATGAAACTGAAGATGAAATGGCTTCTCATGTTCACACTCGCTTTCATTCTCCCTCACATCCCAAAACCTCATATTCTTACTTGCTCCTGATTTATTCTAAGCGAGATTAAAATTTTCAATTTGTCTTATAAAATGTAGAAAAAAATAAAATAATTTTAATTTCCTTTAAAGAAAATTTTCAATGAAAATATATATTTTGTGATCAGTAAAATTAATCAAATCGTAGGTTAATTAGATACAAATGTCCGTAAAAAATTCAAATTTGATTAGTAAAATTGCAAATTCTATCAGCAGTAGAAATAAGTTTTCTTAATATAAAGATTAATTTAATATAAGAAAAATAGACTCAATTAAATAAAAAATTCAAAAGAATACTGAATAGAAATGCAAATAATGAATGAGAAAAAGAAGATGAGAATTAACCTATTGTATTAGCAAATCATGCTTAACCTTTATTGGCGTATTCCTTTTTCTTTTCTCATCGATCGACATTATTTTTGCTACAGTTAGTGGTTTGCAATATTTTGTAACAAATGATTACTCTAGCAAATCAATAGTAGATCTTATCAGTTAGTTATCAAACAACAACTATATATATATATATGAACGCTCGAGAATAAAATCTACGATACTAGTAAAATAACATAATAAGAAAAAAAAATATCTTGATACGAAGGAGAGAAAAAAAGATATATACGCACGTTGTATATATTATCTGCACGAAATAATAGAAGAAAAGAAAAAAGGTGAACCAGATTTTAACATATTTCAATTTTTATACTAACCCTTTAATTTAATTTAGCGATTTTTAAATATATTGATAGACTTAATTATTTTTCTAATCATTCATTTATTCTACTAACCATTTAAATGGTAGATATTTTTAATTATTCGAGGCTTTAAGTTTCTCTTTAACCGATATATGATATGTTAATAAAAGATGAAATAAATTCAACTCATTAATTTTCCAAATCAATATATTTAATTCTAGGATTTATTTGAATGAAAATTTATGATTTCATAAGAGTTCTCTACTGAAATCGTAATATTAAAATAAAAGTGTATCAGATAATAGGTTGTCCTTAGATAAATTTACAATTAGAGGTCAAAAAAGTTGTAATGATAAACAAATATATTTCGATAAAAGTAATTGTCTTTTGTTCTCTCTTTATATGATGAAACCTTCAATGATTATAATCGGATATTCGATCGAATAGTATTATACTCTTACTCTTATGAGAGAGATATTTTATCTATATGATTTAATGTGTAAGTGCACATAATAAGATAAAAATCAGTTGTATTGTATTCTCCACCTCCCACAATAAATATAAAATCAATGTTAAATATCGAAGCAATGATATATTTTAGCTTATAATAATCGTAGCAATGCTCCTTAAACACATGCATGAATAAAACTTATTATCTCACCTGTAAGAACAGCAAGAAAAAAAGAAAATGTATGACTGATTTCATGTACGAATACAAAAGATAGTTAGTATGGATTATTTTGTATTTTTGTTGCCTCACAAGTCCAAGGTTTATATTAAATATTAAAGTAATTGTATATTCTGCTTATTTAGAATAATATTTTTAACAATTATAAATGACTGATCATTTAAAAGTAATTAAGTGGCGAGTGTATATAAAAAAGATAAAAAAAATAAGATAAACGTTAATTATTATATGACCGATCTCTGAATAAAGTACAAAGTCTAGTAGAATAATTCGAAACTATCCTATTTTTTATGAATATATATCATATACAGATTATAGAGGAACCTAAAATCTAGGGGAAAGTAAAATGATTTTATTTTTTTTCTAAAAAAACTATGGAAAGATTTAGTTTCTGACTGCTACTAATAAAATATTTTAATCATCAAAATGCAATTTACGACACAAGCAAATTTGTGAAAAAGTCTGACTAAAACTGTTAGAGAAATGCTTCCATATAAGTTTTTGAAAAAAATACTCATCCACCTTTTATCTTGAAATGAACAATAGTATCTATTAACTTAACAAGAATAATTTTCAACCTTTCATCTCTCTCATGTATTCTGTTTATTACTTGTCTCTCTAATCAATAACTATAAAAATTTGAAGAAATAAATTCTGAAATTTTTATTTGTAAGATCAACAATCATGTACAATTGTATATGTAAAAAAAAAGTTCTGTATGTTAGTAGAATGTGATAATATCTTGAAGCGATATTTAAATGAAAATTAACGCATAAAATGCAAAGTCTATCGATGAGGTGGTGGTGCTGCAGCTAGAACGACACCTGGTGGAGCATGAGCATGAGCATGGCCATGTTCAAAATGAAAATTCTTTTCTCCATGTACACCTGCCATATGTTCTCGAAATCTAAATAAAAAGTTAATTGATTTCAATTCAAATAAAAGAAAAAAGAAAAGTTCATACTTATCAAAACAAACTTGTGACATATCACGTACAGATGAACCAACATGAACCATTTTATAAAGAGACTAAAATGAAAATAATAATAACAAAAAAAAAACGATGCGAATATTATAAATAAATTTAACTTACAAGAAAGATAAGAATATGAACGAGAATAAAATAAATGACAAAAAATGTTCGACTTTGATGTGATGAGAGAATAAATTTACCAAAGTTTAAAGCAAATTTTTCATGAATTTTAAGTGATTCATATTTCTTTTGTTTTTCCTTCAAAATAAAATCAAATATAAATCTATATATAAACATTAAATTATTCAATACTTGTTTCGTAAAATTAGTAAACGGATCCAATGATGCATCATAACCACGTGAATACCGATCAATAGGATCATCTGTTCCACGTGTTGTCTATAAAAATACAATACAATTATATTATTCTAAGAGGAATCTCATAGCTATCATATTAATAATGTTTCTGATTTTTAATCATCTTATCATTTAGAAAGATTCTCTCTAAAACTATTAATTGGTATGTTATGCAGGGACGTCCGTAGAGGTGGGATCGATCCCCCCTCCCCGCAAAAAAACTGAAATAACTGGAGGAGAGTACAAGTCGAACAATTTTCAGAGATTTGGAATAACCTTTTTCTACGATGTACTTTTCTGCAGAGTCGTCAATCCTCCCGAAAAAATTTCTGCGGACGTGTCTGATGTTATGTCATTTAATTAAAATAAGATTTCAATCAATTTTAGTGGATAAAAGTTTTTTTTACTGAATACATACAGGATAATTTTGAACGAATTTAATTTTTTTCATATAATTTTATATTGTCCGATCGAAGTTTATCCATTTCATTTTGAGATATATTCGTTTGTTGTTTTAATGAAACATTTTTCTAAATACAAAAAAAAAGAGTTTTCTTATAGAAAAAAAAAATCGATTTATTTAAATTACGTGCTCTAATTCAACATTACGAATACGAAATCGTTCACGTTGACTAATAACAATAGCAGTTAATGCTTCATCCGATGTTGTATCACGTGATGAAACATGTGAAAACGAATTCTTAAACGATGCTGGAGATGTCGATGATTGATTTAATACATCTTCAATTATTATAGTTTCATTTGAATTACTATTACTTGTTTGTCCCTAAATAAAAAACAAATAAAATACATCGAAATTTATAAAAAGAAAAAAAACAATCCACTTCAGGTCCTCGTCGAAATAATTCAGTAACACCACTAACACTTAATAAATCTTTTTTAAGTTGAATATTCAATTGTTTTAATTCATTATTTGCATTTTCAAAATCTCGACAACGTTTATCAAGTTCATGAAATCGTTCTAAATAAATGAAAAACATTCATTTTATTTTCCACACATACGAAAAAAAATTTGAGGATAAAAAAAAGAAAAGCTTATTATCACCATATACGATATTCTTCTTTCTTTCTTTCTTTTCTCTCTGTCCTTGAACCTGAAATAAATAAATTCAAAGCATATTCAATATTATACAAAAAAGACAAATAGAAAAATTTTATTAATATTTGAACAAAAAAAGAAATCATAATTCACACATATTAAACTTCTTTCGCAAAAATTGTTTTTGTTAAATACAATAAAAACGGTGGAATGTTAGTAAATCATTTGATATTTAGTATTCTTTTGTTAGATGTATATACTGTATTCTTTCTCATTTATTGCACGCGCACACAACATCGAAATATAAACAAAAATTATAATCTGTTCAAATAAAAAACAAAAAAAGAAAAAGAACTGAAGAAAAGAAAACGAAACAATCATATATCACGCCATTCTCTTTGTTTGTATTTTTTTTAATGCACTTGTTAAAGCAGCTGGGTTTGTTCACGACTAGTTTTAATACTTGAGTGATACTCACAAATATATATATATATAATAGAACAAAACGAACAATAACAACAATAAAAAATGTTGAGCATTAAAAAGAAAAAAGAAAAGAAAAACGCCAAAAAAAAAGAAAAAGAAAATTACAAAATCACCAATTGGTTTTTTTTCTAATATCACCTTGGCTAAATAAAAATACATTTTTTTTTGTTAAGTATTAGTATCAACAGAATTTGTTGATTCATTCGTTGTTTGATTTGATAGTATTGTGTCATTATAATTATCATTCTCAGTTATTGATTCATTATGTAGTTTTTTCGTAGTAATAATTTTTTGTGGAATAGATTTTCGCTTTTTACTACTTGAACTAAATGTAGATATCGAAAGAGTAGGCTTTTGTTCGTCGATTAAAGAGATAATATTTGTTGATGATGTTGCTAAACTAATTGGACTAGTCGAACTATCTGAATCATTTGTCGTATTAAACCATGAATTATTTAAGGGTACAATTGTTGGTAAAGTATTATCTTCATCATTATCATCATCATCGTCATCATTATTATCAGTTAAAGGCGTCGAAGATATTTTATTTGTATCTTTCGTATACGTATTAGGTTTAGTTCCCATTCGGGCAATATGAAACCAATTCGATATTTTGTTCATTGGCAAGGATAATTCATCAACGAGTTGTTCTAATTTTGCTTGACTTAGATAAGGTTCACTTTCGAATATTTGTTTCAATCTACGACGTTGATCTTCTGTAGATATATATCGACGTTTTAAAGTAGGATTATTGTTACTTTCTGTATCATGATTCTGTGATTTTGTTGTAGGACGAATACTACGACGTAGAACTGTAAACAAAATCAAATGAATTAATAAAATATTGAAAAAATTTTATGTTTACTATCTCGTTCTTGTTTCGAAGCAAGTAATTTTTGTACATTGTCGGTGTCACAAAACCAACTATACATACGTATATATGGTTCACGACCTTTGACACTTAATGCATACCATGGTCGCGGTTTTGATAGTGTTTCACTAACTGTACCTTGAGAAAGATTAAGAACAGCTTCGCCTAAATAACAAAACAATGCAATGTTTTTTTATTTTATAGAGTTGATCTATATCAAACACACGTTGACCAATACTGTATGAAGAAAGTAATTCACGTACTTATGAACTTAAATGTTCAGTATCAATTGTAGCTAAATATACAATAATAAAAAATAAAGAATTTCTTTAAATTATTATTAATTTACTTGGTAAAGATATTTCTGGTGAATCATATAGTGACATTTGTGATTTTGTAGTTAACTGTGGTCATAATTGATCTTTATTAGTTTTTGAACGAGATTTTGATTTTTTATTATTATTAGTATTTATTTTTGTTGTTGATATTGTTGTTCCATTTAATGATGATAATGATAAACTTTCATTTGATACTATATGTAAACAATCATTTGATTGTGAATCAATAGAATTTTCATTCGATACGAAATTATTTAAATGACAACCATTTAATGTTAATGGTGATGAAGATAATGTTACAGTATGTGTAAGTTGTTTGATAGCATTTGAATCATCCAAAAATAAACGCATACGTATAAATGGTTCACGACCTTTTTGTGTTAATAATTCCCATTGTTTAGGTCGAGCAAGAATATCACTTGAAGAAAAAAAAATAATATTATTATTTAAAAAGAAAATTTGTTTTTTTGATTTTTACCTAACACTTCCTTGAGATAAACCAAGTATTTTCTCACCAAAATGTCTTTGAGATATACTATAACGACTTAATATATCTTTAATAGTTGTAACTAATTCCATTGTATTAATACATCGATATTTCGCTATATCTTGTTCATTTAATGGTGTTACAATTGTTTTATTATTTTTAACGACAGTTTGTTTATTTATTGTAGTTTAATCTGTATCAATTTTCATACTTAAATCTAATGGAATTTCTGTTGTATCTTTATCAATATCATCTTCATTTTTTTGTTCACTTTCATCTGTATCTGGTGATGATTTTAATTGTTTAAATAACGTATTATTTCGAACAATTTCTTGTAACATTAACCAATTATGATAATTATCTGGTTGAGGACAAAGAACATTATTGGATGGATAAGATTCATTTTTAAGTCTATTTGTTGTTTGCATTAATAATGATGGGACAAATGCTGAAAATATGGCGGGAGGTATAAATGAATTTTGTTCGGAAGGTGAAGGTGCTCTTGATTATGCTGCTGATGATGATGCTGAAGGTGTACATTCATTAGCTGCTGTTTCATTATATAATTGGTTAGGTCAAGAAACTGGCATTTATATACCATTAGTTGATCTTCTTCAAGGACTTTCAATTGAAAAAATTGCAACACTTGTTTATAATAAACTTAATGAAAAAGAATAAACAACATCATCAGGTACAAAAGAACAAGATTCAGATTTTGAGTTGATTAATGAAAATGAAGCTCAATACTCCAAGACATCCGCATATACTCGTTTAGAAAATATCATTTGTCTACATCGTTCGAATCAAAATAATACTTCAACTCTTTTTTGTATTACTCAAATATCAAATGATAATAATAATGAAGATCTATTTACATTTTTTATTGATAAATTATCTAAGCAAAAAGATGAAACATCATGAAATGATATCTATGCTTTACAAATACCATCATCTCTTTCTTCATCTTTTATATCTACATATGCTCAAAATCTTATTACACAAATGCGTCGTATTCAACCATGTGGATCATATCAAATAGTAGCTATTCGAAATAAACTACAAGAAACTATTGCTCATGAAATGCTAAAACAACTCGAAACACACTCACTCATTGCTAATACTCAATTACATCTTTTAGATGCTCACAATTAAAATATATTCATAATTCTTATTTATTAAATCTATTTCATATATATCGATTGTTGTAGTATACTAATATTTGTAGACTTTTTAATAATTAAAACTAGTAAATTTCTTCGATAAAAATCTTAAATTTTATCATCAATTATATTAGGATCAACAAGACTATATCACATGAATATGTAGAAATTCTTATCAACAATATCTACTTTTCAACCTTATGAAAAGCTCCCTACCAGTCGAAAAATGTGATATACTTCAGAGAAGTCAGTTTTCGAGAAAAGTGTACCTTTTCACAAAATATGCAAAATTTTGATTTTTTCTTATGATTTTCAGCGTATCAAAATGAACAAATAAGATCAAACATTAAAACTAAATATTTATCACAAGCCTAGTATAAAAAAAATAAATGTAGACATCAGCAAAAGAAATACTTATGATAGAAAGTGAAACAGTGACTAAACGTTGATCTTTGATAAATCAATAAATTATGGTAGAATTGCTTCAATATATAAACTGATTACAATTTAAGTAATTATTAGATATAAAGAGACAGAAGCGAAGTGACTAACATAAAAGTGATGATCAGGAACCATTTCTTTGATTGAATTGTAGAAGATATTTTTTTCATTTTATTTTTGAATATATATATGATTCCCGTGTCTCGAAGGAAACGGGAGTGGACCAAACTCAACGGCACTGCAGTGTCGAGATGATCCGTAGCACAGGTCCGAGTGAACTCGGGTGATCCTGGCCGATGTCCAAAAATCCGCTTGAAAGAGCCTGGCCTCAATGAGACCAGCGCCGGCTTTCAAACCGACGAGAACAGATACTACACTTTGATCTTAGCCGAAAAGGCCGAGAAGCGATAACTAAACACTCAAATTCATCACATTTTAGTGAAGTGATTGGTCATGTAAAATGTGAATAAACTCATTGATTTTTTCATACAAGAGAGAGAGAGAGAAACAATCGATTATTATTTTTCGAGAATTTCCACATCATTTAGTATGAGTCATAGATGATAAAGATTTCACAAGAACGACAGTGCAGTGCACAATATTCGTGCCCATTCTAATCGAATAAGAAAAGTGATATAGACATGACTAGACTAGACTACAGTACTGTTCTTTCTTTATTTTTAATTTATAGAAAGTGTTGCTCTGGCAGACTAGTGTTACCACCAATCCGCATTTTATCGTCATCGCAACATGTATTTGATCGGGAGTGATCTTTACCTCTTGGTAAGTTGTAATAAGCAACTTCTCTCAACACCCTTCAAAGCTCGATATTCACTTTGTCTTTGCATATATCATGTTAAGAGACAGAAAAGAAAGAATGAAATGTGTAAAGACAAAGCAGATGTCGTGCTCTGTAGACGATCGAGAAAAGTTGCTTATTACAAACTTACCAAGAGGTAAAGATCACTCCCGATCAAAAATACATGTTGCGATGACGAAATTGTGCGGACTGGTGGTAACACTAGTCTGCCAGAGCAACACTTTTTCATATAAAATTATCAAAAGAAAGCTTATTAACTATTGTCATTATTTGTCTATATATTTTCATATGCGGGTCACACAGAGAAATATCTTTACGAGACGACGTTTTCAATAAAAACAAAATATTGTTTATATGTAAAAAAGTATATTATTGTGGAATTTAAAAGTAGATGTTAATTTCTTCACTAATTCTAAATGATATCCACCAATCATATCTTCGATTTCTTTCTGAAGAGAATATTTTTAGATTGAAAATGATATAATGAAGAAAAGTTTTGTTGATTTGAAAACAGAAACTATTTGAATAAAAGTAACTTGTCGATGAAAAAATGTTTTATCTGATATGAAATCAATGTTAAATCTATGAATAGTTGAATATCAATCAAGTATTTCTCTGTTTTCCTTTGAATTGATTTATATAAATGTAGTGATCTAACAAGTGACAAAACTTTTCATCTTTAGAATTATATTAAAACAAAATGAACACTACCCTTTTATTTTATCAATTAAACCGATTTTTTGTTAATTGTTCACCATCGGGAAGATTGTATATCTATGTATAAGACTATTTTTATCAATGAGATTAATAATTAAAAACAAACAAACAACAGTAGGTCAATCAATTGATAAATTAAACATAAACCTAAAAGTCAATTTCTAATACAAGAATTCCGGATGATAAATTAATTATTTTTCATTGTAGTATTACATAATGGTTAGAAATTATTTCTCACTGAAAATACTTCATTCTCTGATATGAACTGCTGCTACAGGACTATTGATGATGTTATGATATAGAACAAAGAAGTTATTCTTGTTTTAAACATCACTTTTTTAACAATATACTGTTGATTTAATTCGAATATAGTCTTTATTTGTTTATTGAAGATTCATATGATCTATTCACACCATAATGATTCATTCGAGTTTATATTTTTCTTTTTTCGAAATTTCAATTGGATTATATAGTATACTACTCTTATGATAGAAACATAACAAAGTATCATACAAGATAATCAAAAATAAAGAAATGATCTTTTTAAATCACTAATATTAAATTTATCTTTTATAATTGTCAAAATTAGTTTACAATCGATGAAAAACAAACCTTTGAAGAGATACAGCAAGCCAAAACGAAAAATATTCAATTCATTTCTCGTTGCAACCCACATATGTACAGATACTTCACTTACACTGACTGTATACATACAAGAACGAAAAAAGAAAAGATGGCAACTATAATAATCATATATGAAAGTTTGTTTTGTTCGTTGTCAGTTTACTGTTTTTGTTGATCTCTCGCGCACTTTATATTTACATTTTTAAGAGCATCTAAAACAGAATACAATTATTTACTATTAAATAATAGCTGTGTCGTAGGTAAATTTTCTTTTCCCGGAATGATTGTGAATTTATAGAAGCTACGAACATACTCTCGATAATAGCTTCTTATTTTTCAAGTTAAACAAAGAGCGATAATTTGTGCCTTGAACACATTCTTACCGATGTTTAAACTGCATATTCTATGAATACAAGTAAAAAAAACATGTATACGATCTATTCTTAATATAAGATAGGGTATGTCCATTAATTCCACAATGTGCACAACATAAGTTATAGTGTAACAGATTGCTCTCAATAGATCTTAATCAAGACATTCTTATAGAATACACAATTTAACTGAAATATCATTGATAATGTTCTTTTTTATTAAATTATATTTATTATGAGCACGATTATACTGATAAATGTATGATTTATTTGACTTTTCATCGATTAATATCAAAATTTGTAAAATACATGCGAAATCTCTGTATTTAAAATACAAGATCATTGTTAACACTGTAATTTGTAATGTAAAAATATCCTGTAATCTGATTTTTCTTCTGATTGATTAATTCAGTGTCTATAGAATGATTAATATAGAATTGTTGTGAATCTCGCTCTAATGAAATAACAAAATGGTGAATGACAGAGAGAGAAAAAGAAAGAATAGAATGCGCTGAAAGAATTGTTTCTTTTTCTTTCTAGATTCTATCGATGAAAAAGTGCCACATATACATTATACTCAAAACAAAAATGGGTATTTGTTACTATCGGAAACTCTTTTATGGCTTCTGAATAGCTCAGAAACCACACGAAACGTTTCCGAATCGCTCGGAAACTATAAAAGAGTTTCCGATAGTCACAAATACCCGTTTTTTAAGAGTATAAATCACCGAAGTAATTGTGCCAACGTATGTAACACTAAATTGGCAAGAAAAAAACAAAGTAATGTGTTGTCCTCCTTATATATGGTTGGTTTCAATGTTGTAAATTGCCACTTTTTCTTCGTCTCTCGTTTTTTTCCTGTTATATATTGAAACCGTGTTACGATAGTAACTAGGTACAGTTTGTCTTCTCATAACTACAAAATAATAACACAGACATTGTGTGTCGCGGAAAAATCTAGAAAAAACAAGTTGTCGCCTATGTAAATCAATATTGGAATCTACGATGTCACTCTAATCACTACACTCAATTACAGATTCACATTCATCATCAAGTTACAACTCAGATCAATATGGCTGCAAAAAAGTCACAGAAAATTTTTGGCTCACCCTCTAGTACAGGTGCATTCAATGCAAGTGTCACAACAACAACGCCATCAACACATCAGCCTATGGCTCAAAATTATTTGTTGGTTTGGGTCGATGCAAGCATCGATCAAACCAGTGATGATTGTCGAAATACGTTGATACAGCTTCAAGCTGTGATTAACGATGTTACTATATGTGCTCAACCTGATGAATGTATCGAGTTTCTCGACGAACTCAATGATAAAAAAGCGTTCGTCATTACATCGGGCTCATTTGGACAACGTTTAGTTCCTGAAATTCACTGCAAGCCAAAACTAGATGCCATTTACATATTTTGTGACAACATATCTTATCATCAGCAATGGACTAAGAACTGGAGAAAGATCAAGGGTGTTCATAACAATATAACGGATATTTGCGATGCATTAAAGGTAGGCGCCAGACAAGTTAATCAGGATTCAATTCCTATAAGCTTTGTTACGGCGAATGCAGCGGTGTCCAGTGACAATCTGAATCAACTGGAGCCCAATTACATGTACACACAAATATTCAAAGAGATTCTCCTTGAAATGGATCATGATCACAAACAAGCCGTCAAGGACTTATCAATGTATTACCGCAAAGTTTATCGTGACAATACGGCTCAATTAAAGATTATTGACGAATTTGAACATACTTATCGTCGAGAAAAGGCAATCTGGTGGTATACACGTGACTGTTTTACCTATGAAATCCTCAATCGCGCACTGCGAACGTTGGATGCTGATATAATTATTAACATGGGGTTTTTTATTCATGACCTCCATCAACGAGTTCATCAATTACATGAACAACAACTTTCAAATTATGATGGTATGCCTTTTATAGTCTATCGAGGACAAGGTCTGTTGAAAACTGATTTCGACAAACTCAATAGAACAAAAGGTGGTCTCATATCTTTTAACAACTTTTTATCCACCAGCAATGATCAAGATGTTTCCTTCATGTTCGCCGCGAGTGCCTCAGCAGATTCAGGTATGGTGGGAATACTTTTTATAATGACTATTGATCCTAGTATTTCATCAACACCATTCGCCTCTATTGACGAGATTAGTGATTACAATACAGAAGAAGAAATTCTTTTCTCCATGCACACCGTATTTCGAATAGGTACAATTAAACAAATGGACAATAATAATCAACTTTATCAAGTGGAACTTCAACTAACTGCTGATGATGATAAACAACTTCGACAACTGACTAAATGTATAAGTGAGGAGGCTAGAGGTAAGACAGGATGGGAACGATTAGGCACATTATTACTCAAAACAGGTCATTTCGATAAGGCTGAAGAACTATATAAAGTACTACTTGATCAACCATCGAGCGAGAGTGATAAAGCACTTTATTATAACAATCTTGGATATGTCAAAGATGATCAAGGTGATTATGAACAGGCTATTAAATACTACCAACAAGGACGTGAAATCTATGGTAAAACTCTTCCTACAAATCATTCTGACCTCGCTGCTTCCTACAACAACATCGGTGAGGTGTATAGAAAAATGGGAGAGTACTCAAAAGCACTCTCATTTTACGAAAAAGCATGTAAAATCTTCGAAACGACACTTCCTGCAAATCATCCTTCGTTAGCTATTTTCTACAATAACATTGGTAGTGTGTATGATAACATGGGAGAGTACTCAAAAGCACTTTTGTTTTATGAAAAAGCACTTGGGATTCGAGAAAAAACTCTACCTGCAAATCATCCTTCGTTAGCTATTTCCTACAACAACATTGGTAGTGTGTCTAACAGCATGGGAGAGTACTCAAAAGCACTTTCATTTTACGAAAAAGCACGTGAAACTTTTGAAAAAACTCTTTCTGCAAATCATCCTTCGTTGCCTGCTTGCTACAATAACATTGGTAGTGTGTATGATAATATGGCAGAATACTCGAAAGCACTTTCATTTTACGAAAAAGCGCTTAAAATATATCAAAAAACTCTTCCTGAAAATCATCCTGACTTGGCTACTTCCTACAACAACATTGGTAGTGTGTATAATAGCATGGGAGAGTATTCGAATGCACTTTCATTTTACGAAAAAGTACTTGGGATTCGAGAAAAAACTCTATCTGCAAATCATCCTTCGTTAGCTATTTCCTACAACAACATTGGTGCTGTGTATGATAGTATGGGAGAGTACTCAAAAGCTCTCTCATTTTATGAAAAAGCACTTGGAATTAGAGAAAAAACTCTTCCTGTAAATCATCCTTCGTTGGCTGCTTCCTACAACAACATTGGCTTGGTGCATGATAACATGGGAGAGTACCCGAAAGCACTTTTATTTTATGAAAAAACAGTTGGAATTCTAGAAAAAACTCTTCCTGCAAATCATGTTTTGTTAGCTACTTCCTATAACAACATTGGTGGTGTGTATAAGAACATGGGAAAATACCCAAAAGCACTTTCATTTTACGAAAAAACGCTTGAAATCGAAGAGAAAACGCTTCCTGCAAATCATCCTTCGTTAGCTATTTCCTACAACAACATTGGTAGTGTGTATTATAACACAAGAGAGCACTTGAAAGCACTTTCATTTTTCGACAAAACACGTGAAATCTTTGAAGAAACTCTTCCTGCAAATCATCCTTCGTTAGCTACTTCCTACAGTAACATTGGTAGTGTGTATAAGAATATGGGAGAGTACTCGAAAGCACTTTTTTATTTTGAGCGTGCTTTGAAAATAAAACAACATTCATTGCCTGCTAATCATCCCAGTATACAAAATACGAAAGAGAGTATTGAAATTGTAAAAAAAAATTATAATGGTTGTTCTGAATAAATATATATAAATAAATGTTTTCCTTACACAACAGAGAAATAATTGTATTTTTTTACTTACTCACGCGCGCGTACAGAGAATATCTCTATAAGTAATAGAAACGGAATGGACATAGCTAAGTGGTAGAATTATACAGTTACATAATATGTACATGTGTAAAATGTTTTCGCGGGCATATTTACGTTTCTAACATTAAATACTAAAATATTCTCTATAAGTTAAAAAAAATAAGTATAACATCAGAAGTTGTCGATTATCATTGTAATAAACATATTGCAAGTGAATCTAAAAAAGAATAACTTACCTTGTTTAGCTTGTATTGATTATTGTATTGTATTGAATGAGGCCTTGAGCGATGAAGAATAATATGGGTGTGAGTATGGTTTCTGAAGAAGATAATAGTCACACCCACACTCAAACTGCAGTCCGTTTGCCATACAAATCACATCAGGGATGTCTGAACGAAAAATTTATTCTAAAGGTATAGCTACTCAATGATTATTTCAAAGAGAACCAACTGTTTGAGATTAGAAGAGAAGACAATACAAAATCAATAAGTACTTAATAAAATATCGTAGTCATCTTACTGGCGATGCTTACAAACTGAGTCAAACAATATCAAAATTTTTATCTTGTGTCATATCATCACATACACAAGAAATTAATGATGTGTACTCTACGATAGAATTATAACAACAATCATTTTTCACTTTCATAATTCTGATATACAATCAAAAAATCATCTCAAAAATTATGTTTTACCATTTCTTTCTATTAACATCTATTTTATACAACTATCTTTTCGTTCACTTATCAGGTATCACAATATAATTCAATGAGCTTTTTTATTCTATTACTTTCATTTTTAATCTATCTCTCAGAGATGATTATTCACAATTTTATATATTCCAATCATATCTAGTAATACAAAGTTTTAGGTAATTGTTCACATCTACACACTTTGAAAAGATGTGATAGTCGTGTGCAATCGATTGTGTTAATATTGATGAAACATACGGAAAATATAAGATAAGATATAATCAACGATATGTTTTTAATTGTATAATATGAAAAGATGGAATAGTGTTATGATGAGAAAATGATATTTGTCAATGAAAATATGAAGTTATGTTCTCTCATATTAAGATGTTTCATAATAGAGATGCAACCATTCCAATAGTTCGCCGTAAGACTTTCTTTTTTTCGACGGAATATGTAAACCTGTTTATATCATTGAGTGATATTTTATGGTCTTTTCACGATCGTTCTAAATACAATCATCTATAACATTTTATTTTTTATACTTTTTCTTTGAATCTACAATTTAAAGAAACGCTTTCTTTATGTAAATTGCTATATTTTAAGATCCATATCATGTATATCGAATGGAAAGACACAAAAAACAATATTTTCTCAGAAGCACCAGATGCGACTGACACAGTAATTATTTTTCAATCACTACTTGTCTCACAATATTTGAAGTGTTTTCATTATACCCGATGTCACCATATTTAGAATATATCAACCAATTTTAATATCAATAAGAACCAATAAAAAAAGAATACTATGGAAATTACATCTTATCTATTTCAAGTCAAATAAACTTTATTATTGAAGATATACTCAATTATATTTTTCAGTCATTAGTATAACATAAATGTGATCAGCCAATGTTATGCTAGATTAGTCTTTACCAGACAACTATTCAAAAAACATGCATGACTTTAACGTAAATTTATGAGAAGAATAAAAAATCTAAATTACTTCTCTCTCTATAGAATATAAGTATTAATTACAAAAAAATCATAAAATTCTATTGTTTTAAATAATTAATTATCAAATTCAAATTTTCTTTTTTTTCTCTCTGTGTCCAGCCAATCAATGATAGTTATATTTTGATTATCACTATCTCAACAGAAATAACATTTTTGGAAAGAATATGTATGAATGGAATCCTTTGGCGACAGTTGACAAAACAAAAATCATTATGATTATAAGACATTGTTCAAATGCCGACAACCTTCCGGTTGAACCAATCGTGCATAATAAAAATAATAATATATGTGAAGAATATATCTCTCGACACTGTTCTATAAAATTTAGATCTAACGAAAATTAATCAACTAATCAACTAATTAACAAAGTGACAGAGTTCCTATGTATGATTAAAATAACCACATCATTTATGGATATTTGAAAGATTTCTTTACAAAATTTTGAACATTGGAAACGTTATTTGAGACATATACAAATATCGGTAGATAAATCATATTGAATGCATACTTCTTCTTTTTTTTTTATTAAAGTACTTGTATCATATTCTTTGTAAATACTTCAGAATCATTCTAAGTAACATCATCAATCAAACAAACAAAATACAATAGATTCAATTTATTTTATTAATTATTTATCTGAAGTTTTGAAATCTATGTAAAGATGTTTCAATATCCAGCAATAAGTTCGCATAATGACGTTTACATATTTTATCCAATCATTTCTTCTTTTGTTTTCTTCGTTCTTCTGTTCGTATTTAATAATATCTACGTCGAATTAACACCTTTTTTTTTTTCTTTCAATTATTCATATAAATCATAATTCACCAATAGATGAACCAATAAGAATATTCTCTCGAGTAAAGGCCATATCCATCGTTTCTGCACACCTCTCTCTCTCTCTCGCTCTTTTACATCTATCATCAATCAGTCATATAGTCTACATGGCGATGATCAAATTACATTTTTCTCCCAATGCATTTCAAGTTGGCCAACGAGAGCGCTGCATTTTTTTCCTACTTTTTGTTCGTTCGTGCGCTCGCTCGCTCGCTTGCTCGCTTGCGTTAATGGTAGTAAAGAAGAAAAAAAAAAGAAAAATATTCATTCAACACTATGTTCTACATATACACGCATATAACTCATTCGGTCGCAAAATATAAAGAGAAAGCAATCTTCCTTTTTTTTTTCTTCCTTTTCTTTCTTTTCTTTACTATGTGTTGTGTGGGTGGATGTGATGTTGCAAAGCTCCAAAAGTAGTAGACACGACGCATGATGCAGAAGAATGTAAGAAAAAACTGGTAAATATTATATATATACATCGAAATACTTCTTTTTTCATTTTTTAGAACTTAAAACATATAAACAGTTATTTTATTAATAATATGAGAATAATATGTGTACACCCACGAAAGTACTATTTATTTTCGTAAAATAGTTATGTTGATTGTATATACACGAAGACATTCCAATAGAAATTGTCTGCACAAAATTTTCTTCTTTCTTCTTTGCCTTCTCCTCCTTATTGATGGGCGATGATTATCCTCGCTTGCCCGCGTCGTCGCCGACCGTTCGGCTCGACCATCATTCTTGCGTTAGTGGCGACCCACAGCGTCGTCTACTAAACTACTACTAGTAGTAGTAATAATAGAAAATTCAGCTGTGTCGCTACCGCTATAGCTTCTTCTTCTTCTTCTTCTTCTTCTTCTTCTTGTTCTGTTCTCTTCGTCTTGATCGGGACAAAAAAGGACGTGCCCGCTATCGCTCCCGCCGCTTTTTTGATACTCTACCACATAGAAAAGAAAGAAAGGTTGAACCTTTTTCTTTTTACACTGCCCCAATGCTTGATTGCTTTTTTTTCTTTATCGTTTGTGTGTTGTGAGTGTGTGCACTTATCAGAACAACTCTCATTCGCGCCCGCTCGTGTTGACTTAGTCCAAACGAGTAACCCTACTGTCTGTCTATCACTGGCTAAACATACTCAAACACGAAGAGACAACAAGAAATTCGTTCAATTAAAACATCTAATTAGTTTTTGCTCTTCATTCTTTCTAATTATATACAGGTGTTGACTCGATTTCATATATATATTAATATTGTACACATCTTCTTTTCGTTTTTTTATAGCTTTCTTCGATCTATTGCTATACGATACACTCACCCTTCATTTATATAGATACGGTGTGAAAAACTTCATTTTTCTATTTCTAATTGAGTTTTAACAAGTTGTATATGATTGATGATGAAATATAAAATAATATTTTAGATGGATAAAGTCGCTGTTGAATCTCCGCTTGTAAATTCTCTATTCAAATGTCCATTATGTTATGGACTTATACGTTCTCCAACAGTTATCAATGAATGTCTACATCGATGTAAGTTTTATTTGAATTAATTAATCTAGATAATAGAAAAAACAAAAACGAATATTCAATTTATTTTAGTCTGCAAACTATGTATAACGAATTATTTTGAAAAAAAAAGTAATAATAAATGTCCTACATGTCAAATCACTATTGTCAATCCATTGGAGACACTTAAGTAAGTGTTTAACCTAAGCAACAGCTGTTTCCATATTCTATGATATGTTTTTTCTAGATCTGATCTCATCTTTCAACGACTTTTATATAAAATTTTTCCATATATTTTTAAACGTAACGTTATTACTCATGATTTTTTTGCTTGTTCTTTCTAATTTAGTTTTTTTCTCTTGTCATGTCTATAGGTGAAATCGCGTGCAGACCTTCTCTACTATCATCGACCATTACTAATGGTAATGTATCTTTTCTTTGTTTATTGCCTAAAGGAACATTTTAATTTCTATTTTAGAATCAACACGTATTTATATTGATTCAACTATTGATGTTTATCTCGAATATTGGGATATGTAAGTGTTCTTTATTTTGGGACAGTTAAATTTGACCTTTTCTTTAACAAATAAATGAAGTTTACTCTATAATTTCATTGGCTAAATTTCGTTTCCGAAATTCTGAACGAACCAATTGTTTTTCTTTTAGTTCATTGGATCTGTTTCCAAATAGTAATAAAACATCTATAGCAGTAAGTTATTCATTCATATATCTATTTTATCTATATTTTTATTTCAAATAGTTATCTCCATGTTATTTGGAATGTAAAGCTAATACACCTTTAATATTAATCGAAAAATTTATTCGAATTAAACATTCATTACCATCAGAACTTAAAGTAAATAATTTTTGTTCTTTTTTCAAACTTAATTTTATTTATTTAGATTGATCTTTTCTATAAAACATTTCTGTTAAATAAAGATCATGAAAGATTAATTGATATATGTTATTGTTTTGATCGAATGAATAAAGTAAATAAAAATTATAAAATAATGATCGTTCTATATTGTTTTTTTTCTGTTTAGAATGAAACACTTGATATACGATTTCTTGTTAGTCCATATGGTTATAAAGCAATTCTAAATCGTATTCGTCAATTACGAAATCCTATTCCGTCAGCGATTGAAATTTCTGAACAACCTCCTTTACAAATTGAAATTTCCGAAAAACAAAATAAAACGATATCATCTTCATCAGCATCGTCATCATCAAATTCTAGTTCAATTGATCCAAAAATTAAAGTTAAAATTCGTCGATCGCAAACATCCACAAATAATTGGTATATTCCACAATCAAAAAAAAATGAAGAACCCGTTGAATTACCTGATCTAGTCAATTCATGTGAAACAACTAAGAAAATTACAAAACGTAAAGAACAACCATTACATCAATCATCTGTCTCACCAAATAAAAAGAAACCTTGTGCAACATCAACATTTTTTTCTGTTGGTCATACTTCACAACCGAAAAGTACGTCATTAATTAAATCTCAGAGAAAACCTCAACGACGTACTCGTTTTATTCCAACAATGGTTCCAGGTCCTCCATCAATATTCGATCGTTTACCAATGAATCGATATGATTATAGTGATGTAGATTCAGATAATTCACCAATATGTTCGACGAATAATTTTCATCAACAATCAGTCACAACATTACGACCATCAGAAATGGTTATTGTTAATGTTGAAGAAAATGTACAGGATCCAATAGAAATAAAACGAACACAAAAAACTGTTTGTAAAGTTCCACCATATATACCAGAAACTCCATCGATAACCAATTCTCCACCTGAAAAATCTTTATCAATTGTTAAACCAACACCTATCTATCCAACAACATCACCGATTAGACGAACATTATTACCGAAAAAAATTTCGACTATAATACCGACATTAACAAATCAAATAACATCATTAGATTTAAATAATGTAACTCCACTGGATTTAAGTTTGAAATAAATTATATTAATGAATGGTGTCAGATACAAAGACATTTATGTGTTTTTTTTTGTTTTGTTGAATTATGTATTTTAATCTATTCGATATCGAAGGAACAGTGATTGATTGAGTTCTTTTCTTCTTTTTTTTAAATACGCATCTATACTCCTGATTGTTTTGTTTTGTTGTGTGTATATGTATGAACCGAGTTGAAAGAAAAGAAAAAATAATAATAATCATTGAATTGATTTAATGATATTTCTTCATATAATATAACGATATATAAAAAAGTTAAAGTTTATTAATAATATAGAATCTAGATGATGATTGGATATATCTTACATTTTAAAGAGAGAGAATAGTGATGAATTTTTATTTTAGAAAAAAGTTCAAACTTACCCCTTAGACGAATGTGTTTTCTGATGATACAAATAAGTATTGGAATTAATTTCTATATCAGATGAAATTATGTGAAGTCATAATTCTTGGAATATTCTTATAACAGGGAAATAAAGGGGGTGGTCGAAAATCATCAATTTTAACGCACTCTAGAAATGTCATAATACGAAAGTCCTTGTCACCCAGATCACGAATCTGACATCCGTTTGTCTAGATCTGATTCTTTTTTTTCCAACAATTTTCAATATTTTATAACGAAAAATGGGATTTAAACTATTTTACTATGTTTTTTATTTTGACGATAGCGTCGTCATTTCGCAATAGAATTCAAAACTTCCTTATACGAAAATGTTCAGCGAAAAAAACTCTACAAAGTTTGTGGGAAAAGAAAATTTTCTGAATACTTATCTGTTTGTGTTTGAAACCTCACGGAACTACCCTACTAAGACTCAGGTACCCCACTATGGCAAACACGGCAAGAAAGGGATCAGATCTATACAAACGGATGTCAGATTCGTGATCTGGGTGACAAGGACTTTCGTATTATGACATTTCTAGAGTGCGTTAAAATTGATGATTTTTCGACCACCCCCTTTAATACGTTTATTTCTTCGATCAAGAAAGTTTTAAACGTATTTTTCCATTGTAATTAATTTGTATCCATCTCTGTATGTCTAATAACATTAGTTCACTGTTAATATATAGCATACAAATTTAATTAACTGTTATACATAAAATCCACTAGATATTGATCTTTTGTTCTATTGAAAATGTCAAGTCGATTTCTATTGGTCAAATTAAAATAAATATAACAGTTATTTGATGTTCAAAAGTAAAGCAAACTATAAATTAATTCTACTCTCTTTAACATGAAATATTTCTTTTGTATATGTAAATCATTCTAAACAATAATGATAGACTGACTTTAAGTCATTGATGCAAAAATAACTGAATCAACGATAAATGACAATCAGTTTTTGGACAAAGATCATAAAAATAATGTTGTATATAGACTATCATATTACTTTTGATCATCTAAAGATATTTCTTATTTACCGTATAGTTTTACACGATTGATCTTGTGTCAAAAGACATCATGAAATTAAAAAAAAATATGAGATAAATAAATTTGTAAAGTGAGAGATACAAAACTATATTTCAATAATTAATTCTTCTGAAATAAAACGTGATGCTACATTGGTTGGTTATATTTTTTGTTTTAAAAGTAGTTGTTAATTGGATTATTTTTTATACATAAAAATACTCCTCAAGTATTGAAGACATAAAAATTATAAATATGTGTAAAATGAGATCTTTTGATATGATATATCTTACCTGTAACTTTTAGAAATAAAGATAATATAATTAAGAGAAATGTTTTGAGATAGTTTAATTTTCATTGATAAAAATCATTTTCTCACCATATCAATATTCCATCTTTTCATATTATACAATTAAAAACATATCACAGATTATATCTTATCTTATATTTTCTGTATTTTTCATCAATATTAACACATCTTTTCAAAGTGTGTCGATGTTAACAATTAACTAAAACTTTGTATACATATTCACCTATCTTCCATGAGATTTTCTCAATTCTCTTTTCATACTAGTTAATTTTCTATTGTAAAGTACACATCATTGATTTCTTGTGTATATGATGATGTGACACGAGAAAAAAATAATTTATTCTACATAGAATGCATTGCCAGACATCCTGTGTAGACAGCTAGTTTATTTCGCATAGAACTACATCTCTGAGACAATGTAAGTTTTAAATTGACTTACGTTAGAACATAGATTCTATCATGTTTTGATATTGATGCAAAGGATATCCATGAAAATATATCTATAAAGTATGGAACGTTATTGAATGTAATTCTTTATTTTTGACGAAAAAATAGCTAAATAAATATTTAATAGAAATAGAAATTTAGCTCAAGAACTGCAAGTAAGAAAAATCTCTTATTGGAATATTCCAGATAGATGAGAATGTTTGAAAATGCATTTGAGTATCTAAGTAGCCTATTGAAGTTAACGCTTCATGTTTGATCAATGACCTTTGACCCGGTATTGGCCGGATACTTGGCATAGACGGCTAACTCGACGTGCCTGCAAATAGTCGGAAATGGATGGAAGTAGATTGAAATGTCCGGATGAGATTTTTTTCTCCTAAATTTGTTGTCATAAACTTATTCATTGCATAAATAGTTCTTCGAGTTGATATGTCCATAGTCTTGAACTATAAATGTTTACTAGAAGAAAAAGTTGAAAGGTTACAGAAATGAATGATCGGTTAACCCTAATAACACCGAAAATAAAAATGTCGAAATGTAAAAATGTCGAAAATGAAAATATCGAATACAAAAATGAGGGTGCAGGCGGCAATATAATAGTGTGGGTGAGGGCGAAAGGTGTTTCTACGTCTATGTTCTTTCATTCTCAACATTCCTACTTTTCTACTTATGTAGCATTTGGGTTTTCGATATTTATATTTTCGATATTTTTATCTTTCGACATTTTTATTTTCGGCGTTATTAGGGGGAATCGAATGATCTTGGGTTGTCAAGTGAAAACTAATTACACATCCAGAAACATGTGTTCGATAAATACATAGTCTCCTAAATAATTAATATTTTTATATTAAATTCAAAATGAAATTAATAATATTAGTTAGAAACGAGTATATCATAATAGAATCTTAATTGACATAAAGTATGTTAGAATTAATAATAAAAATAATGAAAAAAAGACACGAACACAATTACTCGTGCTATGACCATTATCTATTTACAGAACTATTTAATAATTGCTTTGTTACAAAACGTTTCCATTATATGAGAAAATTATTTTCTATTAGAATTGATGACAATATAACTTAATTCAGTTTTTTTCCATTGTAAAAGAATATTTAACCTCGAAGAACTATAATTTTTCGAGTTTATTTATTCATTGGAAAAAAGTTTTGTACTTATTATTTCACAATTGGTAGTCTCTTGTTTTTTTCTGCTATTATTTCTATTCAATCTATTCTGACACATCCCAACAATTCGCATATGATCACGTAAATAATCTATAAATAACAATAAAAATCTTTTATTTACATTAATATTTTACCAATGACTACATACCATCGTAAAATAACAAAACGAATGTTTTGTTCACCTCTGATCTGTTGTATATGTGGTGATGGAGCACGCGGTATTAATTTTGATGTTATCACTTGTATGTCTTGTAAAGCCTTTTTTCGACGAAATGCATTACAAGCATTAGTAAATTGTTTTGTACGTTTTCGAACATTATTTAAATTATTTTTATTATGTAGAATGTATTACGATGCAGACGTAAATCTAACTGTGAAATAACAATAGAAACACGAAAGAATTGTCCTGCTTGTCGATTACAAAAATGTTTGAAATTTGGTATGAAATCCAAATTAATTCGTTTGGATTCTCAAGCATTAACACAAGACATACAACTACCAAGAGTAAGATTTTTATATCATCTATTCTATTAATTTTTTTCTTCTTCTTTTCAAGCCTCGACCATTAAGTCTTCTTCAAAATGATTATTCAACATTTACAGTTGATCAATGGAATCTTTTATCTAATGTTATCAATGTTTGTAATGAATATAACATTATAAATGATATTAAATGTTTACTTATAGAATATTATTCTTTACCAGTTCGATTACGTGTAAAACCATTAACAGCATTAAGTTATATGAATAAATCTCTTTCAACTATTCAAACAATACTTAAACGATCACCTTATTTTCATTCATTATCATTAAATTCTCGTCGATCACTTATACAAAATAATATATATCTTACAACTAATTGAAATTCTATTTTTGTTAGTTCTGAAATTGATCGTTGGAATAATATAAATTTTGCAATGTCATTTAATACATTACTTGGAACTGATTGTTTTACCCAATTTTCTACAATATTAAAACGATTAGATTCGAATAGTATATCTATGAAAGTAATGTTATTTATTATTGTTTTCTCAAGTAATTGTTCTATTATCATCTTTAATAATCAACAAAATCTTAAAAATAAATCAACTTCAATTGAATTAATACAAATTCAAAATATATTTGTAACTTTACTATGGAAATATTTAATTTATCAATATGGATATACGGAAGCTATACGTCGTTATTGTTCTCTCATAAAATTTGTATTGGATATTCTGTGTGAAAACGAAAAATTAACTAATAATGAAATTTATCATCAAATACTCAATATATTTATAGTACAAACAGAAAATTTGTTAATTCTATAAATATATATTATAGAAAAAAGGGGGTGGTCGAAAAATCATTAATTTTAATGCACTCTAGAAACGTCATAATACGAAGGTCCTTGTTGCCTAGATCACGAATATGATATCCATTTGTCTGGATCTGATCACTTTTGTGTCGATTTTTGCCGTAGGGGGGTATCTGGTTCACTGTAGAGTAGTTTCATGAGGTTTCAAACAAAAAATATACAAATTATTCAGAAAATTTTCTTTTTTCTCAAACTTTGTAGAGCTTTTTTCGCTGATCATTTTCATATCAGGAAGTTTTGGATCCTGTTGAGGAATGACGACGCTATCGTTAAAACAAAAAACATAGTAAAAAGTCGAGTCTCTAATCTCGAGCCGGCTGTATTCTGAAGAAATATGGCAGAGTAGATTTGGTAGAGAAAATTGTGCTCTATAAAACCTACTATGTCATATGTCTTCGGAATATGGTCGATTCGAGATTCGACTTTTTACTATGTTTTTTATTTTGATGATAGCGTCGTCATTTCTCGATAGAATCCAAAACTTCCTTATACGAAAATAATCAGCGGAAAACGCTTTAACAAAGTTAGAAGGGAAAGAAAATTTTCTGAATGATTTGTGTATTTTATGTTTGACATCCCATGGGAA